TCAAGCCTCCAAGGCAAATTAACCTCACTTTAATTAATCCTACTCTGCATCATCAGAAATCAGACTCCCAACAGTTTCATCCTTTTTCTTCCACAAGCTTTTATCATTCTAGGCGGTTTTCACTGGCTTATTCAATATCTGGCTGCAGTTAAAAGACTCAGAATACCAATGAAAGAAAACCTATTCCTCAAAAGTCCACGCAGCTGTGAAACAAGGGTGTCGAAAACACTATTATCGACATACTCCATGCAATAATACTGTGCATCCGGCTTCACTTAGTTTGAATAGTAAAATTCAAAGTACATTTAAGTGATAGAACCGAAGTAAACTTAAGAAGGCTCTCTCATATGGAGCCTCTACTCTCTGATTGTGGTGACCTGCTGCTCCTTCCTAAAGCAAACACTTGGTACCAAGCCAAGAGCAGTACATCTGATTTTCCCACCAAGTGAACGGCTGAAGCAGTTCCCTTAGCTCCTCGGCTAAATCCGGCTTGGGATCCTAAAGCCTTCCCGCTGGAGTCCAGGTGGCTCCTTAGAGGACTCTTTCCAACACGCGTGCAAACGTTACAGCCGGCTGGGACGGACGGTACAAGCGGGTACCGGGAGGGAGAAGAAGTGCCAGACCCCACACTCGGGGGGCTGGCTCCCCAGCCCGGTCACACTTAGCCCTGTCCCGCCGAGGTGCTCTCCTTGGCTCTGTCCCTCCGGGGCGCCTCTACCCTCGCCACCGACGCAAGAACCGACCCGTGAGGCACGGCGGTGGCACAGGACCGACCCCCGATAGGGACGCAAAGCCGGCCCACACCCGGCAGCTCCATTACCGCGGGGGTACCGAAGGGCCCGGGGAGCCCCCCGCCGCTGCGCATCCCCGGCCCGCCCCGTCTCTCAGGGAGCGGGGAGGGCGACACCAGAGCTCCATGAATCGCTTCTGCCCCCCAGACCCCCTCCCCTACCCGGGTCCCCGGAGGAGCCCACCGACCCGACGGCACGGCTCCCCGGCTCTTACCGCGGCGTGCGGGCGTGGGCTCCCTCCGCCGGACGCCGTGCGGGCCCCGTCCCGCAAGCCCGGGCGGCTGTAGCTTTTTTGGAGAAGCTGGGAAGAGGGAGAGAGAGAGAGAAAGAAAGGGGGGGGAGGGAAAGGGGAGGGAAGGGAGTGAGATGGAGGGAGAGAGAAGTATGCGAAGGCAGGAAGTGGAGACGGCCACGGCCAGTGCGGGAGATTAATGGGAACCAGTCACCCGGCAGCCAACAAAGAAACCTGCTCCCCCAGCACAGCACAGCCCGGCCCGGGATGCAGCCCCGCCGCCACCGGGCAGCACCGGGCACCGCTCCCGCCGGCAGCCTTCGGCCCCGGCCCCAAACCGGGGTCCCGGGCAGTGCGAGAGGGAGGGGAGCAGCCCTCCGGGGGCCGGGCAGGACCGGTCGATCCGCGGGGAGATGAGCTGGGCAGAGGAGGAGGAGGAGGCCCCCCCCCCCCCCCCCCCCGTCTGACAATCTTCCTCCTCCCTCTACCCCCGGAGGAGGGATACTGCTTATTTTTTATTTAGAAAAACGACGAAAAAGTCGTTTGGGCTCCTCTCGGCGCGGAGCCGCTTAGCAAGGGAGAAAGGAAGGAAGGAGGAAAGCGAGCGAAGCGCTTCCTGCGCTCCGGCGCCGAGCAGATGGTTTCCATCAGGGCGCCGGGCACGGGGGAGCCCCCGGGGCGGTGGGACGCCCGCCTTCTCCGAGCTCCCCGGGTGGCTTTACAGTCACAGTGCCCCTGGAGAAAGAGAGCGGGGGAGAGCCATGCCTCTGAACTTCATCCCCGGGTACCTGGATTCAAGTCCGACCTCCTCGGAGCAGTTCCTGACAGCGATTTTGTAACGCTCTGCTCCCTGGGGAGGGGAGCCCCAGGTGCCCTGCTCAGAGGCAGCCCCAGCCAAGGTCCCTCCACACGCCAGGACACAAGGCAAGGTGTGTATGAAGGAGGTCTCTGCTTGGAACAAGCAATAAAACACACATACTCCGTGCAAGGTCCCTCCACACGCCAGGACACAAGGCGACGTGTGGTACCAAAGGGTGAAGGAGGTCTGTGCGTGGAACAAGCAATAAAGCACACGTATCCCCTGGAGAAAGAGGGGAGAGCCATGCCTCTGAACTTCATCCCCGGGTACCTGGATTCAAGTCCGACCTCCTCGGAGCAGTTCCTGACAGCGATTTTGTAACGCTCTGCTCCCTGGGGAGGGGAGCCCCAGGTGCCCTGCTCAGAGGCAGCCCCAGCCAAGGTCCCTCCACACGCCAGGACACAAGGCAAGGTGTGTATGAAGGAGGTCTCTGCTTGGAACAAGCAATAAAACACACATACTCCGTGCACAGCACAAACAGCATCCTATGGGCCAGCTCCCTGGCACGCCTGTCCACATGCTTCTACTTCTCAGAAACCAGCACAAGATAGTTGATATAAAAACCATACAAAAGAGGCAGGATCCTAATGGTTAGCAGAACCAAACGTATTGCAAAACGCAAAGACTGCACCTAAATCTTGAAGTATTCAGGCTGGAGCAACCTGGTCTAGTGGGAGGTGTCCCTGCCCATGGCAGGGGGGTTGGAACTCAATGATCTCTAAGGTCTCTTCCAACTCTAACCATTCTATGATATTACACTTCACAATATATTAAGCAAATGATAGTAGGAATGGCAGAAAAATAAAGAGTGATATGTGTATTCTGCAAATGGAGATACAAATTCCGGCATTGTACATTTCTTGATCTTCAAGCACATGCTTACTTCCCTTCCACTAACTAACTGAAATGGTGCTCAGCCTTAAGCAAACATTTATAAGCTTTCCTACACAAGGATACTTCTCTGAACCTAGAGCGTAGTACTCAGGATAAACTATTGTTGGCTTTCACCACCTCATCAGCAAAACAAGATATATTGTCTTGAGATACTCTGATCTGTCATCCCAAACGGCAAGGAAATCTGGTGTAAATGTCCAGCATTTCACAAGCCTCCATTATGTTTCAAAAGAGGGAATGTACAGGAAATAAGGCTAACTTTCATCTGGATTCTGATGTGAATGTGTGTTTCAAAGCAAAAGCTGTTTCAGCTGTCAGCCTTCTTGGGACAGATGTATTTGCTCAGCTGCAAAAGGAGTATTGTGTCACCAAACATCAAAAAAAATGGTGGGAGTTTAAATTTCAACACACAAAGAATAATTTAGCTCCTGAACAACAAGCTACTGCTACAAGTACCTGGCGGGAATATAAAATGAATACCATGTTCTTACGCCGTTACGAAAATGACATAGGAGGGGCTTTTCAAGTATATTTCACAAGTACAGCACAACAGCAAACCCATCTGCCTCTCCAGGAGACCAATGACAACAAGGAATGATGCTCAAAGATGCTCAACTTCCAGTTAAGCAGGAAGCAGTCTATTCTGGCTCCTTATCCAGCACGTCAAACAAACATCTCAAACACGCTAACATCGCTTTTATCAAACATCATTTTTCTCCCCCACTTAATGTTGCATGCAGTCCCCCAGACCTTAAGCACCTTGGCAGCTGCCTAATTTTTCACAGAATCACAGAATCTTCTAGGTTGGAAGGGACCTTAAAGATCATCTTGTCCAACCATCAACCTGACTGACAAAAATAGACACCCACACAACAAACAAGAAGCATCACCATCACTAAACCAGACCTCCCAGCACTACATCAACCCGTCTTTTGAACCCCTCCAGGGATGGGGCCTCAACCACCTCCCTGGGCAGCCCATTCCAATGGCTGAGAACCCTTTCAGTGAAAAAATGTTTCCTAATATCCAGCCTGAACCTCCCCTGGTGCAACTTGAGGCCATTTCCTCTCGTCCTGTCGCCTGTGACTTGAGAAAAGAGACCGACCCCCACCTCTCTCCACCCTCCTTTCAGGGAGTTGGAGAGAGCAATAAGGTCTCCCCTCAGCCTCCTCTTCTCCAGGCTGAACAACCCCAGCTCCCTCAGCTTCTCCTCATAAGACTTGTGCTCCAGACCCCTCACCAGCTTTGTTGCCCTAATTCCTAATTTCCTTTGATTACAAGAGACCCGACCTAAAATTAAATTGTATTTAAACACTGGATTGGGGCCTTTAATGAATGAGTGGCCTGGGAAGGGCTTGTTTATTACAGGAGCTGGCTGCTGCTCTGCTTAACCAACTGGACGATGACAGCAAAATGCAAACTAGGAGAGGATTACCTTTCCTTGCTTGCCAAGCAGATTAGGGCTAGCAACTCTCCACCAACAGGAACGAAGGGCTTGAGAAATCAGTGCCTGCTTCTTAACCTTGGCCACACCGCACTTAAAGAAGGTTTCTGTGCTTATTTTGCCCTTGGTGCAAGCGAGGTTAGCAAGGCCACAGAGTGCCTGTAGCCACGGCTGCTTGGTAGCCCCAGAGCGGCGACTGCAGCCTCAGGCATAGGGGCTGCCCTGTTGGAAAACCCTCCTGGGCCAGAAGCAGATTCTAGGGAGCAAATCAAGCTCGTTTGGCTAATCTGGCTTGCAGCAGGCCAAAAAACACCCGCTGTTTTCTTCTTACTAAGCAAAGTGGAGGGGCTTTCTTTGGGAGAGCAGCCTGCGGGCGGGCTGACGGGGCTGCTCACCCGGTGCTCTGCCCTCTTGCTTGTTTCCCTCAGCCAACCGTCGCTATTATTTTGTACCTCAGAAACTCCTAAAAAAAACCAACCAGGGAGTACGGCTTCCTACACCCTGAGGGGGAGGCTCACCGCTCCTGCGGGGGCTCGGCACCCTCTAGGGTCCTCCCCTCGTCGCCCGGTCGGGAGGAGCGGCGGAGCACCCCCGGGCGCCTCACCGACCCGCCGCCATCGGGGCAGCGCAGGGAGAGCCTGCCCGGCCGCCCTTCACCCCGCCTTTACCTCAGGGCGGGGCGCGAGCCTGAGGGGAAAACCAGAGACCACCAACCGGGGTGGGGGCGCCCCCTAGCGGCGGCGGCGGCGGCGGGGGCTGGGCGG